TTACAGCCATTGTGGGTATGTGTGACACTGTGGTATAGTAGCTAGAATATTGGACTGTGATCCCTGGTTTCTATTCCCAGATCTGCCTCTGGCCTTCTGGGTGACGGTGAGCAAGTCATTTCACCTCTGTGCTTCAGTTTTGCCATCTGTAAAATGGTGATAATCATACTGCCCTCCTTTTGCAAAGGCTTTGAGAGTTATGGATGAAAAGTGCCATATAAAAGCCCAGCGGTGGTGGTATTATTATTAAAAGGGTAAATGGAGGATTTCAGTGCAGCACCTTTCATAAGCACCTGTGGTGGGGTCCACTCACAGTAAGGTGGGGTACCATCTCCTGGCGATTCTGGGGATTAGCTCTGACAGGCTGACACCTCCACTTCCTGTGGGTGCCCTCAGTCTCTGTTTACAGCCCCTCTAGCTCCTCTTTGTGCCTGAGCCCTCTGGCCATGGGCCTCCCCTTCCAGGATATCCTCTTTCGGGGTAAATTCTTCCAGGCAGTCCACTCTTCTCCACTGCCTGGTCTGTGCCACTTCCCCAGTAGCTGGTAGGAGAACCCAGGCCCTCCCTCGAGTTGAAGTTCCAGCTCAGGGGCCCTCCCTTCAGCAGCCAAGGTCAGTGCTATCCTATGCCTGGCTGCTCTTCCCCTGGGCTTTTCCTACCTTTCTGGCTCTCCCCACTCTCTGGGTTTGCCAGCCACACCACTCCCTCCTCCCGGGAGTAACTATAGGCTACCTGCCTCTATATCCCCAAACATACCTCTGTTCTCCCAGGGAGTGACCACAGGGTACTTCCTATAGCCCCTCACTGTTTTCAGCTCCTGGGCTTATACTGACACCTTCTGTTCCAGTCCAGCTGAGCCGCATCCAATCAATCCCTGCTGCCTGGATCCTCCTCCAGGTGCAGCCTGAGCAATTAATTGGCCCAGCTAGCCACTTTCAAAGCTCTCCACAGCCTAAATCTCCCTCCTTTTCTGCTTAATTCGCTGATTGGGCCCACCTGGCCTAATTCAGCTCTCTCAGGGCCGATGTGGGGAGTACACCCCACCACTGTGCCATATTCACTGAGAACAACTGAACAGGTTACATCTAAAATGGACTTAAAATTTAAGCCTGGCCAGAGAGTGAAGTGGAAAATGAGATATTGGGGCCAAAAAAGGCAAAGAAGCCAATAAGTAAACATCCCTTCCTTGATATTGCAGCCCGAGTAACGTTGAGTTACTCAGACAAGTCCAAGGGTGAGTCAGAAATACAATTAAGGCTGCAGGAATTCCAGGATCAAATGACTGCAGAATCTGCTGTAGCATCAGCCCTCTGATGCCAAATCATGATTTACTACCTAATCTTCCTTTTTTAAAAGAGAAAATGTCTTGCTGTTATGGTTGTAGCGAAAATGTTCCAAATGTGAACTCAGTATAAAAAGAATCCGTGTTTATCTTCCTGAGCTTGTACGTGGCCTGAACCAATAGCTCTGAAAAATGTGAAGTGCTCCATTTCATCACACCAAGGTGTTTACATTGAAACCTAATGATGCCAATTTGAAAATCAAAAGCTTCAGCTTCCCAATGAGCTCCCAGCTAGTTCTACAGTGCGGTTATGTATGTTCAAAGCCAAAAATCTGCAGCACATTAAAAATGTAGGGCACCATAATATTGAATTTAATATCCAGTTAAATAATACAAGCAATACAGTAAAGACTGCACTGTTCCTATTTCATTCCTAAAACACTCTCTTTTGAAAATGTAGAATCTGCAACTGACTTAGAATTTCTAGTCTTCTGCACAGGAGTGCTGTACAATACAGAGATTTAAATACAACCTCCACAGTAACAATCAGCTGTACTTTCAAACTGTAACAAAAAGCCTTGAACACATTGATTTTATCCAGTTAGGGTTGATGTTCACAAAAAACCAGGCTCAACTCCCTCAGCAGAAGACAGATAATGTGTGTATGGAAGGAGATTTGGGGGAACACATTTAATGATCCCTTCCCCATACATGTACATTTTGGGTGTATCCCAAAGACTGTTTCCTTACCCATCCAGCATCCTGACTCCAGTGTAGAGATGGAATATTGGAGGACAGGATCTAACCATGTTTGGGGAAAGGGTCCCCCAAATGTGTTTTGCAGGCCCAACAAAAAATGTTAAGGAAGACATTTCTTGTTAACCCTTTCAGCTTCCTTTATGCTAATTGCTGCTCAGTTTGGAGCAGTGGTGTGCCTACCAGCTATTATAAGTGGAATGACTTTGCTGTGTCCCCCATCAGCACAACTTGGAGTGGATGGGCATTGTACCATGTGGTCCCTGCAACCTCTCTGTGCCCAAATAGAACGAGGTAGGGCCAAGTGGATGTCACACTCATTGCTCAAGCCTTGCTCGTTGCTGATGTCCACCTGCTCAGCCTCAGCCTCCATTATGAAGAAAATAGCACTGGGAGGAAGCCACTAATCCTTTCCCCTACTACTTTCTCTCTCCCCTGCCCTCCACTCAAACCAGCTTGGGGAAACCTATTCCATCACCCAATCCTATACACACAAATTAAAGGACACAATCGTCAGCAGAGAACGATCCACCTTAAAAACCAGACAGGTCCCGTGCTTTAATCTATAATCTACCGCCAAAAAGGGGGGATGCCTGCTCCTCACCCATCCAAGCAATCATCTGCACAATCATAGGCCACCAGGATGCCTATTTGCCATTACTGGTGCCACCAAAGCCTGCAGGACAGCCTGCCTGTCTCTGCTGTTGCTAAAACCAACCCCTAGGTAAGGGAGCCTCCTAGAGGACTTTCTGAGGGTGGGTGGCAAGCATATGGGCCAAGGGAAATGAGGGGAAGGGTGTATGTATTTGGGTGGCAGAAGAATATGGAATTTTTGGAGTGGAGGCGAGAGAGAGATGGTGATGGGATTTATTTTTATCCACGAAATGTGTGGTCACTTTTCATTAAAGCAGGACATTTTTCAGGGAACCCTTTGATATTTTGCTTGCATCTTGTTCATCAATGAGATGTTTCTACTTAATATTTAATTAACTGTTTCTTTGTCAAAAATACATGGAGAACCAATTCTGGAAACTGCATACTATCTGGCTTCTATTGGCCTGAGTAGCTGCTGTCTTTCTGGGCAGGCCAATTGCCTAGAGCGAAGAGACTTTTTGTTGTTGCCTTTTACCTCATTCAGTAAGGACCATGACAAGGTTTGAGGACTTAGCTAATAGGAATGAATTACTCTTGACAATCTTTTTATCTTATAGTAATGGAAATTGCCTTAAGAATATGGACAAGGGAGATTCTGAAGGACACTGTGCCAGTCCTTGCAAGAACCCTTGTCTAGCTAGTTGTGTGGAGAGCTACTATGAGATCACTAGAAAAAGCCAGCCAGAAATGAAGGATTGGGCTGAGGGCCATGGAACTACTGTTGGCTGCTGTCCTTACTCTGTTGGAGCTCAGAAGACTGAGAGAGAGAGGTGCATATAGACAGTTTTGGTGTATTTAGGGTACTTCAGCTGAGAACTGTATTGGGAACCAGGAGATCTTCTGTTTGACTGGTCATGAGCAGTTGGAAGCTAGTGAAGGAGAATATTTGTTAAAATGAGCCACCACGTATGGGGGAAGAGAGAGAACACAGATTTATACTGCGTCATGCTCATCAGAGTGGGCTATGCTCAGTGTGTGGTGCTCAACATAGAAGCACCCAGCAAACCCACAACACAGAGATCCCATTCTTCCTTTTCTGGACTGAAAACCAAGCTACCGGAGGCTTCTTGGGTAGGCAAGCAAGCCATGCCAGCAGCCACAGCCAGCCAAATAGCAGCTGTTTCTGGTTATCTGACACTTCATGTAGCTCAGAGAGCTTTTTTGTTTCCTTTCTGCTTTTTTCCCCCTTATTATCTTGATCTGATTTTTGTAGGCCGGGGACGTGCACAGTCTATGACTCAGGACTGACATATAGTAGCTAGTAGAGATGGACTTTCCCCATATTGGGTGTTACTCATGTTAATGAAGGCATCACACAACGCTATGATATAAACTTGTGCTTTGGTGACAGAAATGTCAACAGAAAAAAATTTACTGACAAGTAACTAGTACTTACTGACTGAATAATTATTTTGTTTACTCTCACCGATGTGGGTAGGTAGAATACTGCCCTCCCTCACATATAAATATAATGTCAAAACAGCACTTGTCCCAAACCAGCAAGTAAGAGAAGGGCTCTTAATTTCTTAAAATAGTGTGTATAGTTCTTAGTCTTTTCTCTCAAGTTCACTCTGGGGATATACTCTGACCCATGTGGGTTTTTAAAGTCTGCTTTTTTTAAAGTATGAATATGTGACAAAAACAGCAATGACAATATGTTAAAAGAAGACTCATTATGTATAGTAAAATACCATTGTATGGGAGAGAACACACTAATGTCTGTCTGACTCTCCCTGTGAAATACACAGCAAGTAATAGGACTTTGACACAAGTCATCCTGTCAAAACTACCAATACTTGTTACACAATATATAACCTGTGCAACTCTCTGTTGCTGGATATTATTGGACATTCAAACTGGTTTTATGTACAGAAGAAATGTTGGTGAGAACACCAGTGTTATCTGGTATACTTTCCACAAAATGCCAAAGAATCTATGTTCCAGAGACCAGGCAAAAGAGATCTTAGTTTAACATCTAACATAATAAATGAACCTTGAACAGTGCAAGACTTATAATGCTCCACTGTCAGCATAGGCTGAGAGTCTAAGAACAGAAGCTGAGACCACAGCTTGTCAGTTTCTGGTTCAGGTTTAAGTGTTTCCAGAATCATGTTAACCTGCATAGAAAGCATGGGTACTTTTATTTTCAAATCATGCATGTCTCTTCATGCTTTTGAAAAACTCTCGTCACACACGGAATCATTAATAAGATGGTCTCATTCTGGTGACATGCAAACTACAAGTCCCACAATGCTCTGCAGCTGGGGAGTAGTGCAGAAATGCTTTCAGCCTTCACATGGAGGTAACTGGGAAACGAAGAAATAAACACACTTGCCATGAAGTGCAAGTATCTGTTTTTGCAAAAGTAAAAGAAATCTTCTTTGACAGGGGCCTGTACCAGGAAAGTTCTTTCAGTGTGATAAACTCCTTTTTGAATGGGTATGCATGAAAAAGAAAATTAATGGAAAGAAACCAGGGCTTCTGTACAGCTTATTCTTCAGAAAATGTTTAGGTAGGTAATTCAGGAGTGTTCTCTAGGTAGGTAATTCAGGAGTGTTCTCCTTTTTTTTTTTTCCTTTGTACAATAGAAGCTATTATTAATATATCACTAACTTTATCAGCATTTTATTAGACTAAAGTTTGAATGACTAAACAAGTTTTGAAACCATTTTGGTAAATACTGCAAATATCAGTGCAATATACTTTGAATCACTATCCTAACCACAGCTCTGTTCAGAGGTTTATACTGTTTTTCAAATGTATAAAATAATTCTGTGCCCCCCTGGAGTAAAGTCTTACTTTTATTTCTTTTTGTAAAGGGTGGGGTCTCTAAAATCCTACAACTGTGAGCAATGTGGGAATGATTTTGTCAGTCGCACTGCCTTGAGGTATCATTTCCGAGCAAAACATCTTGGAAAAGTTCACTGTGAAAAATGTGGTAGGGAAGTTTTGAGAAAAACACTTCAGGACCATGAAGCGGTAAGGCTGTTTGAGAGCTCTGATTCTGTCTCTTTTCTCACAACTGGGATTTTATTGGTTCCCAGTCTCTGCTCTTCCTTTTGTATGTTCAGTATGTTTTTACTTTTCTTTCAATAGAGACATTTACACTGGAACAGAAAGGACATCTTGTCATTGAAAAATGGCTTATATATGCATAGTAAATATATATATCTGATCGTCTGACTGCAGTATGGGTGGAAATCCTGCCCTAGCATGTGGATAGATAAAATAACCCAATAGATTTTATTATCTCTAATTTCTGTGCTCAGTGCGTTTCAAGTATGGTCTGTCTGTAGGTGTTTCACACCCAGTGTAAAAGCAACAGCCATTTAGTTTGTTACAGTGCCACCCCTGCCAAGGAAACCTTGATTAGTTTTATATAAAACTATAAAGAAAATCAAAGGAACCTCTGTGGATTGACTGAAGTCCTGTCCAGCTCAGACATAGCATGGAAGAGTATGAGCTCTGGTGCTTATGGAAGCTCCCACTGCAAACACTAAAGTACGGATTTTATCAGAAGACATTTCTTAAAAAATAATTCCTTTAGATGGTTTTCTCTTAATCTCATGAATACTTTTCTTATTTGGACTGTCAAGTTCCTATAAGTGGAAGGAAATGTGGCACTGTGCTGTGGTCCAATTGACTACTGCTTGCCGCCATGGAGGTGACTTTATTTCACTGCTGCTATATTTACAAAAGTCACCAATGAAAAGTCCACATCCCCTGCAGATACCACATAGTTACCACTGTTCTTTCCTATTCTAAGTATAGTGTCTCAAATAATTCCTATATACATTTTATTTTAAATCATGGCAAGCTTCAAGGTGGATGTCTAAAAATGGAATTATTGGAGCTGTTGCTATTTTTTTTTATTATATATGCTTTATGAATATGGCCCACTGTCTTTTCCCATATAGTGTGCTTTAAAAATGTTGAAGTTTGTCTTGAAATGAGCTCCTGGAGGTACTTCCAATTCACTGTATTAGCCAGCCTCTTTTTTCCATATCCAACTTACTCCTATGTATGATGTGCCCCATCTTCCCTTTAACAGGCCAACCATGAAAGGATAACTGCTGAAAAACAAGGGTGTTTCTGGGACATGCCTCCAAAGAGGGAAGCAAAATTTGTGGCCATGGAAATGTCTACCTCCTGTAGGATGTGCCCCAGGCAATTTGGAACAATCCACAGCAGGGAACACCATGAGAAACAAGATCATCACTTCACAGCCAGCAAAAGAGGTACCGCCGCTGCTCGGAACAGACGGGAAGTTTTGCTAGAGTGCTCTGGCCATTAGGGAGGGAGCATCAAGGGCTAACTAACATAAGTGTCAAATGCTTTCACTGGTGAGATCACTCCCAAGATGATTAATTTTCCTTGACCATTTGACTCTTATCCAGCAAAACTCTTCCTGAAAGAGCACCGAGTTGTGTGGGGTGCTGTTCTCAATTGTTCTCAATGCCCACTGTAGTTGATAGGAGTTGAGGGTACGTAGCACCGTGCAGGATGGGACACTCACACTGGTAACTCTAGTTACTGGTAACCAACTAGTTACAACTAGTGTGTCTGGTGAGGACTTGTGGTGGCGGTGGTTACAATGAATCTCCTCATTTTGCAGTTATGAAATGTAATACCTCCTTGCTTTGAGACTGTCTACAGGGCTGGGCATTAACATTTTTGGTATAAATAAATAGATATGGCACAATGTTCCGCTAGTAAATGAATCTACATCAGAAGCTACAGAACAAAAAGCGTATTGAAAATAGACATCATCATTAGTTTGTGTTCACTGTCACGACCTTGTCTTACCCAACCCTCCCTTAGCCATCAGGCTTGTTATTTTAAATGTTGGAGAGGGATATGGATAAGAAATAGCTTGTGCTATTGTCCTCATCCACATTTTGTACTTCTCTGGCAATGAAGCTCCCTTGGAATTTTCTTAGTGCTTGATCAGTTTGTAGACATTCTTCACACACGTGGAAAGTGTGTGGGTTTTTGTTTTTTTTATTAGAGGCCTTTAGGAAAGGCACCCTACAGCCAAACACATTTTTTGGCATATAAGCTGCAGTTCTATTAAATAAATAACAACCACACAGTAACCAAACATAAAAGTGGAATGTGTAATTCTTACAGTAACGGGCCAGCTGCCACAGAAACAAGCTGCTGTTTGATCCAATCAGTGTTTGCTGACCCAAAGGTTATAAAATCATTGCCTCAAGCCATCTGAAAACCATCTGGCCCACTAAGATGTGGGTGATAGACATGACCATAAAACCAAAACCTTGAGTCCCATAAAGAAGATTGGAGCAGCCCCTAGGCTGAACTCCCAGCAGTCTCCTCCAGTAGATATGACTATCTTTATGGCTGTCCCCTTGTTACAACAATTTAGTCTTGGAGAGGACTATTTCTCGCTCCAAACGCTCTCAGCCAAAACTGGCCTGACTTTTCCTACCTGTAAAAACTACACTACCATCAGATGCCGCTAGCAGCTGCTTGCTTGGCATCCCACCAAGCCAACCACTCACAAATACCTCTCCTGTCATAATCGAATGCCCGGGATAAAAATGCCATAACTGATGTCCAACAAATGCCCTTTGTGGGTGGAACAGGTCTAGGCAAGCACATGATACACCAGTGCGCAAAGCCTTTCTCATTTCTCAGTCTACATTTTCACGAGCCTGTTTACCACAATAGCCAAGGAAACTCCTTTCCATGTCTGGGCTATGTCATTTTGTAACCAGCACCATAAGGCTCAGGAAGGCACAACCGCTCTGCACACAAGACCTAACAATCTAGCTAATCTTTGTAAATAGTTTAGGGTGACTTTAACCGAACTATTAGCCTTCCTATCTGTTCCCTTCATTGATCAACCTTCACGGCTGGGAAGTGAGACACTCTAGTCTCTACTGATTACTGTGCCCAGGTGTGTAATATATTATTTGGTTCCTCTGTTTTCTCCTATGCCAGTAGAATCCCAAGAGACTCTGTGGTGGAACAAATTGTTTAAATCAAGGCTTTCCAATGCCTGAATCTGCTAAGGCTGAGAAACAAAACATTGTCCAGGTCGTGTGCCATGCACAATAGGTCACATCCATGTCTTTCCATTCTAACAAGATGCTAAATAGTTCAAAGGAAAATGACAATCACCTGGGCATGGCCTTATCAGAATGCTGAAAGCCCCATCAAATCAAAAGCATTAGAGTGAACCAGCAATAAATAAAAAGCTGCCTTCATACCAAAGGCAGGGGGCATGTGATTAAAAGATGGTTACTTTACTGAGCAATTCTGCAACTCAATGAGATTGTTATTCAAACCCTTCCATGTATAGGCCAAATGATGAATCAGTCCAGACTTTCTTGGCACCACCGCCAGTTATGAAATCTTCAAATTGTTAAAGGGCCCCGTCAGAAGTCCTGTCACTAGAACAGATCTCACTTCACCAGCTTTCTTTTCCCTTACAAATTCTGGAAGAGTAGATAATTTCAAATTATCTGACAGAATCCTTTACCCATGATGAGGCATTCTAAAGCCCCTTTTTAAAACTCCCACCACAGAATTCCACCTACCGTCTGATCGTGCAACCCTGTAATAACACCAGTAGGGAAAGCAAATTAACATGAGCATGGGATCCTTTGTCCTTAAAGAATCCTGTTTTAGGGCCTCCTGGTGGTTGGCCAACCTTCCCATTTTTCTTGCCCTTGCTAGGACCTGTGTCCTTCCAATAAGAACTTCTCCCACATGCCCTCACTGCACTTGGAGAATTTGTGCAAGAATCTCCATAGCTGTTTTCAGCAGGTGCCTCTCCAAGAGGGCCAATAAAACTCTTTGCCTCTCCCAATGTGTTCCTAGTCTCCTGGTACTGGGAGGCCACTGTCTGTAATCTGCTACGGAATAGGCCAGAAAGAGATCCATATAAACCCACAGCTGGATATAGTGGGTGTGGAAGAAGATTTTAACTGTGGTATTTGGGGTAAACTTGAGAAGGGGAAGCAGATAATCTGGGAATGAGGAATTTGTAATAGTTAAAATGAGAGAGAGAGGGGAGAGAGAAAAGGTGTGTGCTCGGGTTTTAGCAGTGAAGATTAAAAGGAAGAGGCAGATTTAGAGACAGTGTAGTGGAAAAATGTCAGGTTTTGAGGTATTATACTAATGATTTTTTACTTTACACCACATCACTTGTGGGTCCTTGGGCATTGAGTACTAGCTATCTGCCACAGCTGATTAAAAGAAAGCAAGGAATTTATAGCATTATTATTATATTACAATCATATCTGTTCTGGAGATGAATTTTACTCAGTTTGAAATGACCACGAAATGAGAGCTTCTTAAGTCCTTTTCAAGCAAATTAGTGATCAGACTTTAATTTACTTTCTCTGCAGCTCAAATGGCCACTGGATTGTCACCTGGTAATATCTTGGATTATAAAAATCCAACAGAACTAAAGAGATTTGTAGAAGAAAAGCTTCGACCCATTCCAGGCCCTGCAAGCATTGCCTGTGCAACAGAAATAGAGGCAGTTATTAATTTGCTCAAGGAATGCTTTCCATTACCAGTAGCTCGGCTCATCAAGGTAAACATGATTTCCTCTTTTTATTGCGGTTCAACAAAATAGCATTTCCTTCACTTGGCAAGGTGTTGCAGTCCGTATGTATCTGTACCACAAGCTCCTCTTGTGTCCCAAGAGTCCAGAAGGAGTGATCTCATAAACAGTGAATTTCCTTTTGGTTTAGATTCAAGTTTGACCCTTAGCATTATTTGGATCCACCATATTTTCTGAGGATTTAATCCTTTTAAAAGACTAGCATTTAGTTTCTTGCATCTAAATATGAGTTGAGCCTATGGTAATAACCTTTCCTCTACCTGTAATTGCTCTTTTAGACCAATTATACTAATTTTGTAAATCTGGATTTACACAATTTTTTAAGGCAAATTACTGGCTCATTTAGTTCTCCAGAGGTCCTAAAGTGACATCCCTAGAGACTGAATATTCTCACAGGACTGATGTAGTACAGTATCAACTTCCCCGTAACATCTTGTCATTGTACATCAACTTTATTCTGAAGGAACCATTTTTAGGGGTGAGATGGCAATTCGACTTCCATACCCATTCCATATGAAGCCTGTTTACTAAGAAATTAGTGGTGCATTTCTGTTGCAGACAACTGTCTGCTAAGAACTGGCCTGAGATTTCTAACTGATTATAAACACCCCTACCTGTAGTGTGGCCATTGCATTATTGTAAGAATGCTCTCAGTACCAAATACATGAGGATGTACTCATTAGCATGAGTAGGGGTTGCCTAGTTGGGCCCTATGCTCTTACTACAGTGATTGTAGCAAGCAGAGCTCTAGATGTGTATTGATAGATATGCTCTAGTTTAAAATGTACTTAACAAAATAAAGAGAATGCGTTTGGCACCCAACATTGGGATGCGATTTTTATTAGGTTAGTATCTGTTAGTTACTAATAAGTACTTCTGCATTAGAAAATAAACTCTTTTTTGACACCAAATTTCAAAAAGGCTCTCACTGCCTTTTTCCTCTGCCTCCCCCCAAACCTCCTCAACATGGTTGACTACAATTTGAATACTGGCATAAACTGGGTTAAACCATATTCAACACCCAGTGAAGAAAACTTGATTTGCCCTTGTGATTTGGGTGTTGAACCCAATTCCATTCCTATAGTATATACCACCAATGATACTGTGAATCCTGTTACTAGTATAGGGCCTGATCCAAAGTCCATTTGAAAGACCCAGGGGTCAGGCCCACCTTGTGTCTCACCTTAGTATCATGTAAACTATAAATTACTTGCAAGTAGGTAGACAAGACAGTCTAAGACATTACAGAAGGCCTGCTTTACCAACATTGCAAAAATGTCCTGTTTACAGAAAAAAATCAAGTGCTAATCATCTTTCTGGCCTATCTTACATAACAGGGAGGCTCATATATAAAAGGAACTGATACACAAGGTTGTTCTGATGTTGATATAGTGCTATTTAGTGAAGCCTTTGAAAATCTAGAAGACTGCAAAAAGAAACTGCCAGAAGTTATAAATGATCTTGGAAAAAGACTGAAGAAATCTTCATGGGCCAGCAGGTTTGGATCATGATGGTTGTATGTATTTTCTATGTTTAGTTAGTATTAGAGCTTTTACTTGCTCCAGATGTTACACAGGCATCTGAAGATGTGATCCCTCCCTAGACTGCCGACTTCACAGAGCACAGCAAAATCAGAAAATAAAATGGATAAAATCAAACTAGAAAACTGGACACAAAATGGTGTGTGTACCAATACAGACATTGATAAAATTGCCATTAGAGATTTATAAGGTAGATCACACCGTCTTGTCAAGCCTTAATGATTCATCATTTTCTCCCACTTTGCACCTTCACCCTCTAGTTTCTATAGCATGAATGAGAGCAACTGAATGGGACTCCATACAGACCATTCATCTATAATGTGAAGTACTGTGCTCCTCCCTCACTTCAGTGAGCTTGTCTAGAGACTAAACATGCCCTATCCACAGTGCAAACAAATACTAAGTATCTCACTGCTTTGGCTAACCATGACACATGGTGATCCATGGTGTGTGTATGTGTGTGGGGGGGGATACATGGAGACAGCAAACCTGGGTTTCAGGGGACGTTGTGTCTGCTGAGCAGGAGCAGGGTGTATTGTATACTCCCTGGCTGTGGGATTTTGAGGTTGTGGAAAGAGATGCGGCGATATTGCCAGTGATTAATTGTTTTAGTATGAAAGCCAAAGAGTGTCCCCTAAATATTTTTTCTCTAGTGGAGATCCCATCCAACCCAAAATGCACATGGGTTTTGTTTCCCATAAGAAGCCTCATAAAACACATTTGGGATCCTGTTTTAGATCGACCTGTTTTTATATTTAATCTTAATCCAACCTAGTGTTACTCCAGAAACTGCATCTAAATACTCCCTCTAGGGAGGAGGCACTGAGATTGTGGTGGGACAAGTTAGAGGGGAGAACTGAGGTCTATGAGTTACGGAGGACTGGGTGACGGGATGAGCAATAAAATATAGAGGTTTTTAGCTCTAGGTCAGGGATTTGAATCCATCCAAACAGAAGGGACATGAAGTTGTTAACATGGCTATGTGGCAACCTATGTGAAATATGTTTTGTGGTCCTTTCCAGATTCCAGTGGAGAGGTGCTCACATCCCAAGAATGACCATGACAATAGAGAGTTATTGGCAGTCTTGAATGAGAGGCCAAGGCTTGAATTGCCATGGAAACAGGCCATTTTGCCAAAAGAGGCAGCCCCTCCAGTTCTGAGCTGAGGCACACTGCTGAGCAAAGTGTGGAAGCTTGCACCGCTACTTCCCGTGTTGTACCGGTTCAGTGAACAAAGGGATGTGTGGCGTCCCTGGGGTCTGTAATCTGGTATCTTTCATACTCCATGTTTTAGAGACCGTCCACGATGTCAATGTGGGCAGCCACAAAGCATGACCCACGCTGTTGAGGACGGCAAAATGACTCAACTTCCTGGAGGTCTTTGAGCCTTGAGCATCATTGATAAGAAAGCGGTGGCTGGCTTGGCCAGACTGCATACGCCAAATGATAGTTCCATACTGCATGAGCATTAATTTGTACACACTCATAATACATTTATATAAATAAACCCATGGCCTATGCCTTTTAAGTGGAAATTAATTTTAAAAACTAGAGAGGATATTAAGACACATTTTGTAGGCTCTTAAAAATATCTCCAGTTTGCATCGCTAGGTGTGGTGAAATATGTCTTGTGTGTGTTTGTTCAGTATCATTCATTTTCATAGCCCTTCAGTTGTCCTTTCTAGCTGTGAACAAGTCTACACTGGGAGGGCTTTGCTATACCAGTATACTGCACTTGCAAAATATTCCTAGTGTGGATGCAGCTTATAGTGGCAATACTGCACTTTTGCCACAGTTCCCACTGACTTCAGCTATATCTGGGAGTGCTCAGCACTCTGCAAATCAAACGTCGGGGCCTCAAGTCAAGCACTCAGAAAAGGAGGAATAGACAATTTGTGATCACCTGTGAAAAGCTGATTAAGTGACTTGACTAGCAATACATAAGGACTCTGGGGCAGAGACAGGGATAGAATGCAGTTCTCTAGGGCAGAATTCAGCTTGTGGAAAATTAGTATATGATAATGTAATTAAAGATTGTATCATACTGCATACTCTCGGGGAGCACAGGCAACCTTAATTCTGACATTTCTGAACTTTGCACTGCTTGACTTCGTAATTGAATGATGATCTTTTATCATAGTTGTTGTGTATAATTACTTAGTATTTTTCTTCAGTTTTCTTTTTTAAAACTTTTTAATGTGGCATCTTATTGACATCAGCAGGGTTGGAATGTTTAGCTCAACTACACCGACCTCTGCCACGTTGACTAACAGAGTAACTGGTGGCAGTAATAGGTTAATAGCCTCTGTGTGGAGTAGTATGAGAGGGGGCTGGGACACACATACTTTGCCAGTAGGTTTCACAGATATTTGCTGACTGCAGAGGAGTGGTGAGACTCAGGAAACTTGGGTTCCATTGTTCTCAAATAGACACAGGGGGTGGGGGTGGGGGGTTCGTTCTCTAATAGTCACAGACTGTCTGTTCTTCCCCAAAACTGGACCTATGAAGGTACGTGTGGTGATCTCTAGGTTTTTTGTATGTAGCTGTCTGTACGGTTCCACTGTTGAAGTTGATCATGGTGTCCAGGAAGTGGAGACTGATATAGGAGTGTTCCAGAGGGAGTTTTAATGGACAGGTGGTGTAGTCTGTCTGTCTTGGCATTTCCTCTTATTTTTACCACCCAGCAGCAAAAAGGAAGAATATGACAAAGCCACTTACACTGCCAGCTAGTTTGAGAAATTGACCTTCATTTCCTATTAACGTGAGGTTTTGCATCTTATACATGTCAGTATATGTATTGCTATGAGATATTTATAAATTACTAGCTTTATAAAAGAAATACGAAGGGCCAGACTGGCCACTGGTGTAAACAAGCATGAGTTTTCTGACTTTAGTGGTGTTTAATTCATTTACACTGGTGGTTAATTTGGCCCTGAGACTTCCGTGTGGCCTTTTGCAAATATCATACAGGCTGATATTTATTTTTATTTCTGAGGGAGGAGACTTTCCAGCCACCTTCCTCCATCCTTACTACACAGTAGAAAGGATTTAAACCTTTGAACCCTTCCTTCCCCCAGTATTACTGTTCAGTAATATTTTTTTATCTAATGCTTGTTTTAGGATAATGATGGAGAAAAGAACCCATTTATCCTTACGGTTTCATTTCAAGTGCTATAAGAATCACCATGGTCACTCATTTGATATCATGCCTTGCTATGACATGCTGGGGCCTGCACCATCAAGAGGTAGGGGATGAATGTTTTCCTTTGGGGAGAAACTTTCTTTATCAGGGAATGATCACTCATGACCATTTATACCCATCATATAGCTCTATAAATTGCATAATGTTTCAGCTCTGCCTTGTGACATCCAGGCTATAGATCTATTTTAGTGTTGACAGTTATAGTAGTCTCCGTTGACTGTACTGTGAGAGAATTTGGGGGAAATGGCACTTTTGCCTCACTACTTGCTAATGATTGTGATGCTTTTAAACTCCAAGCACTTTCCCATACATACATACACAAACACACTCTCTCTCTTTATGCAGGAACCATCAAACACCTGTAAACTAGGTATTCAGATGCAATGTCTAATTTGTGCAGTTCTTACTGTACTGAGTTAATAGATTCCATTCCATAATGTATTTCTAGATATACTTCATATCTCTTCTTAACAACTTTAGATGTACGAGAATCATTGGATCTTCATTTGGCATAAAGGGCTTGATTTTCAAAAGTGACATAGCCATTGCGGGTATGTCTACACTGCAGTTGGGAGCTGTGAGCTAGCTTACTACTAATAGGAATGAAGCTATAACAGCACAAGCTTGCCATTTGGCATCCTGGGTGGGCTTGTGATCTGGTCCCATTTTTCTGCTGCCTGTGTGCTATGGCTTCTCTGCTATTTTTAATGAGCTAGTTTGAACAAAGCTAAGGAGGGTTTGCCTACACATGCTGCAATCACACCTCCAACTGCAGTGTATACATACCCTGTGTGTGCAATATCTGCAGTTGAACGCATAAATCAGGTACGTATATAGGTCACTGATTCAGAGCAATCTGGATCGTTTGGTAAACTGTGGGCAGACAAACAATACGTGTTTTCATATGACCAAATGTAAATGTATACATCTGGTAACAAAGAATATATGCCACACTTACAGAATGAGGGACTCTATCCCTGGAAGCAGTGGCTCTGAAAAAGATTTGGGGGTGGGGGCGAATAATGGGCTGAACAGTTTGATGCTGTTGCCAAAAGAGTTAACGCTATCCTGGAATGCATAAACAGGGGAGTCTTGCATAGGAATAGAGAAGTTATTTTACTACTACATTTAGCACTGGTGTGATGGCCGCTGGAATACTGCTTCCAGTTCTGGTGCCTACAATTCAAGAAGGATGTTGATAAATTGGAGACAGTTCAGAGAAGAGCCAAGAGAATGATTAAAGGATTGGAAAGCATGCCTTATAGTGACAGACTCAGAACTCAATTTATTTAGCTTAATAAAGGGTCAGTTAAGGGGTGACTTAATTACAGTCTGTAAGTATCTACATGGGGAACAAATATTTAGTAAAGGGCTCTTCAGTCTAGCAGAGAAAGGTGTAACACAGTCCAATGGCTGGAAGTTGAAGCTAGACAAATTCAGACTGGAAATAAGGTGTAAATTTTAACAATCAGAGTAATTAAGCATGGGAACAATTTACCAAAGGTAGTGGTGGAATTTCTATCACTGCCAATTTCTGAATCAAGATTGGATGTTTTTCTAAGAGAGATGCACTAGGAATTATTTTGGGGAAGTTCTGTGGTCTGCGTTGTACAGGAAGTCAGATTAGAAGATCACAATGTTTCCTTCTGGCCTGGGAATCTTTGAATCTATGAAAAACATGCAAATAAATAATTAGTCACAACTAACTGTTGACATAGTTGATGTAAATGCAGTCTGAATAACTGTATGCACATCGTGCAAATTTTTTTGTATATTCAATAATGTATATTTTTAAAAAATTGGCCCCAATTTTTAACTTTAAAAATCATTATTATAATTTGCCTTTTTCCACACAGATAGTGGAACAAACTAAAATAAGGATTCCCAAATCAGAAACTTTCCTAATAGGGGAGCATGATTTTAATCGTGTGTGTATGCATATGCAGAATGTATAACCGCTATCAACCAGAAAATATCTATATCTATATATCAATCTATATTAGGAGAGGGGGAGGAAAAAACCCACACAACCCACTACCGGTTTTTTGGATAATCGCTTGCATAGGAGATTAAATCTCTTTGTGAAACAAAATATTCTCCTAATAACATTACTGGATCTTGCATGTTTTTGTATGCCACCAAACCTGGAATGAATTTAGTCTGGACATGAAGTGGGCTTGTTAATGTTATGGACTTGTGCAATATTTAACAGGATTTTATAGCTGTTATGAAACCTCACTATTTAAAACAAAAAAGTAAAATATTAGGGAATGCAGTCTTAGCCTTTTCTTGGTGTTAACAGGTTTAAAACAGAGCTTTTACCACAAGATCTATCTCTGTAATGACACTGATGAAATCCAGCTGTACTCAATGTCCTTGCTGCAGTACCAGGTTGAGTTTATCAAGGCATCTACCATGGCAGTGAAGGACCTGATTCGTTTGGTTAAGCACTGGTTCAGGACTTCATCTGCTAAACCAACAGCACAAAATAAGTATGTAACTAACACTTGAGCCTCTTTTCCTTTTAACATCCTTATGTTTTTGAAGACTGAACAGTGAGTACTGTATAATGGATTTTACATAATGTGTGTATTATGCTTCTCCGCTACATCTTACTGGCTGTTTTAAAACTGAACTAGAATGTGATCCAATTAGACAGTGCCCTCGAGCAAGAAGATGGAGAGGCGCACAGCTGTGCTAGTGCGATTAATATATTGGCATGGCATTCTCTTTTTCCAATTAAAGTGACTCACTGTTGATTGGCATAAAGGACCCTCCACCTTTCCGGCTGACACGACAGCTTCTGCAAATGCATGACTTGGTGGACTTTTCAAACCTTTCCAAACCAAATAGAGTAGAAATCTGGCACACACTGTTTAAAGGTGTGTAGCAAATCAGCTGAGTAAGCAGAGTCTTTTACAATAAGTAACTTCTGCTTATTTATGAATTCTGAATTACTGTTCTGAACAATTAACCTAGTCTGTAGGTGGAACATACATTCTGGAGACTAAAGTGAAGGAAGAATGGTTTTGTAGATAACACACTTGATCGGAACTCAGAAGATCTCTGTTCCATCTTCAGTTCTGCTTTAGTGTTCCTGTGTGACCTGGGGCAAGTCAGTTAATCTTTCTGTGCTTCAGTTCCTGGAATGCGTTGCCTAGGGAGGTGGTGGAATCTCCTTCCTTAGAAGTTTTTAAGGTCAGGCTTGACAAAGCCCTGGCTGGGATGATTTAATTGGGGATTGGTCCTGCTTTTGAACAGGGGGTTGGACTAGATGACCTCCTGAGGTCCCTTCCAACCCTGATATTCTATGATTCTATGATTCCTGTCTATGAAATAGGGCTATAATAATAATACTTCCTTAGGTCACAGCGATCTTGTGAGGATAAATTCATTAATGTTTGTGACACACCAGATACTACTGCAGTGGAAGCCATAAAAGAAACAAAAAGTGTGTCTGTTGCGCTCTGCCCACTGTGACCTTCATGTGGTTGTCTGTCTTCTCTGTTTAGATTATCACTGCTGTCTCATCTGTTCAGGAAGGACAAGCACTAATGGCCATTTAAACTATTTAAGAAACTACTTTTGTGACTCACTATATAATAAACACTATCTGGATAGAAACCCTATCTGTAGCATGTGATTTCTAGAATACCATATGTTTTTCTTGCTCTACCCCCTTTCAGAGCAGTTAGATGTAGGCATACGTGCCTCTATGTATCACTTTTTTTAAAAGTAACAGCAACATGGTCTACTAACTGCTTCTGTCTTCCTCTTCTGAGCTGTGTGATCCCCTCTTACTATATATCCCCCGGCTTCTGACTCATTCAGATGATGAACTGAAAAATCCGTGCAACCATAATTTCTTCCAACAAAATGCCCAAGGCAGGTATACCACGAAGGGTTACACCAAACATGTTTGTTTGACAGCTAGAAAGTCTCTGATGTGCAGTGACCTAGACAAACTTGGGCACAGGACTAAATATTTTTTATCAAATTCAGCATAAATTTATTTTCTAAGCAACTAATCCAAATTTAGCAGGTAACTAGCAGATAACTGCTATTAATATTGATCCTCACAGACACATGATTGATTGGTAAAATAAGAAGCTCCTGTACTTAAAAAAAACAAAAACAAAACAAAAACACCTTTCACGCTCAGAGTGAACCTGAATCTAGAAATGGGCTTGATATACAAAGTTTGGATCTGGATTCAAACTGTCCTAACGTGGGTGGTTTGGATCTGGGTTTTGGTGTCTGGCTATCTAAATCTGAAGCAAAACTACTGCGGGACTTTAAAAAGTTGGTCACTTTACATTTTCTTTTGTTCACTTCTGCCTTTGCAATTACAAACTGTGTCTGACAGATTTTTTCACATTCCATTTCTGACGTGAACACAATCATCCTCACTTCTTGGGATGATTGTTCACTCTAATCCTGAACTCCAAATCTGCTGACTCATCACTGATGTCAGCTCTTTCCTCTTTAGCTGTTTTCAGATGGGCCAGATTCACGTCAGGATCTGGAAAAACAGCACCAGCAGCCAACAGTTTGCCAAGGGGGGAGGAGGGCTCCAATGGCCCTACAGCCAGCCTGCTTTTTGCATAAAAAATAGCCAGCGCTGCCCATAGTAGTAGTGTGACTTGGGGTGATTGGTGCATTTCCCTATTAGCCTCCTCTGGCAGGGCTCTGATGAAGTCCCCTGTGGAAACTAAAGCTCCCTTCTCCAAGGGAACGAAATATGCTTTACCTCTCTGCCCGTTGGGAAGGGCATTTAGCATCTTCCTGCAGTACTGGAGGTGCATCTGGTCTCAAGTGGTGCTGAGGGTAAGTTTTGTATGCCGAGTAAAGCTGATGTGTAAGTGAAAGATTCTGTGCATCTTGCTGGGTGGCTGAGGAAGTGACAGTAGTGTCATGATATGAAAAAAATCATGAATTACACTGGTGCTGTTTGCTTTACCTCCTTGCACTAGCTGAGGGATAGAGAAGATGAGCTACTAGATTATAGACATGGCAAAGACCTATGTGTCAAGACTGGCCAATGAAAGAATGACCCCTCCTTGACATTGAGAGGAAAAGACTGTTTTGCTAGTGACTGATTCTTCATTGCACCAAACCACTCCTGCCTCTTGGGCTGATTGCAATTCCCCTCATGTCTGCAAGAGGTAGAAGCTCTTTTCATTTATCATAGATATTCAGTCAGTGTTGGGAATACATTTCACCTAATATGTTTGCTGCAATAAATGTCACACTTTTATTGAGATGAGTCAGTTTAAGAGCAATATATACACAATCATATCTTGATTGCTGTGTGTACTCTGATTCAGATGTGCCAGCTAATATTTTCTCTTGTGAAGAATGTGAAAAAAAAACCTGTATGAAAGGCCAGACCAACATCCATTCTTTTGGGAAATTATTCCTTTCAATAGGAAGTATACAGTGCTTTGCTCTTTTAGTACTTCATCTGAAGCCCATACAAGCCAGTGGGGACTCCGTCCATTGATTTCTCTGGGTTTTGGGTTAAGCCCACAAGATATGTCCACATTGCAATATAAGCCCAGGGTTATTAGAACTCGAGTTAGCAGAACCTAGATATGTTTACCTTGGGCTAGAGCGTCTACACTCATTTGTAATCTCAGGTTAGGAATTGTTGAAAACTGGGTCCTAAACTGAGTCCAACCACCTATATCCCAGACTCCCTAACACCTTCCCAAAATGTGGCTGCCCTAGCCCTTTGTTTCTGATGCAGTGAGGGAAAACTTGACTGTTCAGAGGACAAAGAAAATCAGCCCATGGGATTGTGGAATACTTTTGGTGGACTTCCAGAGCATGAGTCCAGTGGAGCTGTGTCTACACTGCAAAAGCAATAAGGCTTGAACCTTGAGTCCTGGGTTGACTCAGACTCGGGGGTCTTGGAATCCTGGGTCCAAACCCTGGGTTGGGATGATTTGCATGTAGGCAGAAGTGGAGTTAAGCTTGAGCCTGAATTTGAACCCTGGACTTAAATTGCAGGGTAGATATACCCTTAAATTATACCAAGACTTCTTGGGTATGTCTACATTGCAATAAAACACCTTCAGCAGGGCTAAGGCTGTAGGGCTGATTAGTGTCAATGTTTGGGATCAGGCTGATGCCTGGGCTCTTGTACCGTCCCCCCTTGTGGGGTCCCAGAGTCTGGGAGCCAGCCTGAGCTTGAATGTCTGCACTACAACTGTATAGCCTCATAGCCAGAGCCCTGTGAGCCTGAGTCAGCTGACTTGGGACAGTTGCAGGTGGTTTATTGAAGTGTAGATGTTCCCTCTGAGTTTAATTTTTGTACCAGTGAAGTCAAATGGGAGTTTTGCCCTCCACTTCAATAGGAGCAGAATCGAGGCCTTAAACTGAAGCCATCTCACTTTTGGTGGTGTATGGTCTGTCTCTTTTCTTCTCCTCACCCAATGTTACAATGTAATCGGAATAAATTCTTTACAATGTAAAGAATAAATGGACACAACATTCAAAAACCGGTAGGAGAACACTTCAACCTCTCTGGCCACTCAGTAACAGATTTAAAGGTGGCAATTTTGCAACAGAAGAGCTTCAAAAACAGACTCCAACGAGAAACTGCTGAGCTTGAATTAATATGCAAACTAGATACCATTAACTTGGGTTTGAATAGAGACTGGGAGTGGCTGGGTTATTACACATATTGAATCTATTTCCCCATGTTAAGTATCCTCACACCTTCTTGTCAGCTGTCTAAATGGGCTATCTTGATTATCACTACAAAAGTTTTTTTTCTCCTGCTGATAATAGCTCAACTTAATTAATTAGCCTCTTACAGTTGGTATGGCTACTTCTACTTTTCATGTTCTGCGTGTGTGTATATGTGTATTTATATTTATATATATATTTTTATATATATATATATTTGTGTATGTGTATGTGTAGGTATATATTTATATATGTGTGCGTATATTGTGTGTGTGTGTGTATGTGTGTGTATATATATATATATATATATATATAAAATCTCTTCTTACTCTATGTTCCATTCTATGCATCCGATGAAATGGGCTGTAGCCCACGAAAGCTCATGCTCAAATAAAACTGTTAGTCTCTAAGGTGCCACAAGTCCTCCTGTTCTTTTTAATGTAATCAGAGGCATTTCTGATGGTCGTAAATGGTTCCAGTTCTTTCTTTACCATATTGTTTTAGCTATTAGGCCATGGAGCTAGTGATTTGGCTTGTGACTTCTGGCATCCATGGGGCTCAGCTCGCACAGCAGAATGTATGGCATATTTTTGATGCATTCGGTACCTGATCTGGTCACATTTGTAATTTAATCACAAAGCTGCTCTCTCCTTTTTACTGATCAATTTTCTTTATTATGCAGAATAAAATAAACTTTTCAGTGCCCCCATTGAGGGGCCTGACTGGGGACAACAGCATAATGATTGCAATGGATAACAAACATGAAAGTGCAAAGCTAACTTTTGTTGCTTGTTAGTGTTTGTTTTTACTTGCATTTTGTTTGTAAGAGTTTCCTGTGTAGACTTTGATGTGCTAAGCCTGTGTTCTATGAATTTAGGTTTCGCAGGCTTCCTTCTTCCTATGCTGTAGAGCTCATCACAATCTCCATCTGGCAGCTGGCAGGGAAGCCAGTCTTTTTCAGTCTGGTTCAGGGAATGAGAGCTATCCTGAAGCTTCTGGTTAGATACCCAGAAATGTGCATTGTTTGGCACAAACACTACAGCCCAAACTCTACAATTTTCAAAAAGGTGATCCAGAAGAAAACCAGGTAACTATATGACAAAATACCTACTGTCATCTTAATGTAAATATACCCACCAGACAGGCATAGCTGCAGCAGCTGAATTCTGCTTATGTCCTCAATAGTTCATGGGGAAAAGGAGTCCCCTTAACTCATGGGAGGCAATGCAACTTTCCATTAAGAGATTACTAACATGCTTTAAAGAGACACACAATGTCTCCATAGTTTGTATCAAAACCTATTTACAGAGGGGCACTCCCTTTACTATTCTAGCTAGAGACTGTACACAGAAAGTGAAATTTACCCCAGTGCATATCACCTGCACAAGCGGCTAAACATTAAAGGGAAAATCTTCTGTAACTGGTTGATGGGCAGATGCATGTGAAGGAAGAAAAATGCTTCCATCTGCCCCATAGGCTATGTGGCATGAGGTCCTCCGCTGCTCCAATTGTCAGGAGAAGGGTCCCTTCTGGAAGACCTCCAAAGACATATAAACAGGCTTGAAATGATTCTGTTTTTATCAGTAAATGTTAGTAAATATCAATTTTGCTATACGCACATAAACTGATAAAAAATTCCACTAATGATGATAAAAAATTACAGATAGACAAAGAACATGCTGCTTGAGAACTTATTAGTTTGATTTAAGAATATTTACTTTGCACGTTTTGACATGTAAAGTTGACCATTTGTGTTTTAACTGTTAAACTGTACTTAAATAATTATCTGAACTCCTCCCCATAATTTCATCAAACTATGAAATTGAAATTAATGATAATCTGTAGAAATGCTTAAATAAACATAGACTGTCAAAATTATAAACAGAATTGAATTCTGCCAGGCCTATGTATAAGACAGGGCATTACTGTGATATCTAGAAAACATGTTCCAAATTATGGAATATACGAATGCTATTGTCAATTTCTGGCAAGCTAGAAGAGATCAACAGTCCTGCCACACTGAAGCTGCTTTTTGTATTTACTTTTACTTACTGTGTGTGAAGTACCTAGCACAATAGGGTCCTGGTCCATGACTGGGGTCCTAGGTGCTACCATAACACACACAAATAATAGTGGTAATAACTTTTTTAAAAAATCCTAGGAAATTCCATGCAAAAAATGTATTAAGAGAACATGGAGATTCCATGATTAAATAAGTAAATCAGGAAATGACACAGTTTAAGATTTCATTGTTCTGTGATTGTACAGCTCCAGGGCATCCTGCTTAGGGCTTCTAAGTGCTCAGGCAACAAATAACAATTATGTACTGCTTGCATGTATGTTAATTTAATACATGTATTTAATGCATGTATGTCAATTTAATACATGTTATAGAGTACGTTTTTATACAGCCTTAGATATATGTTGTGTAGCATCTAACTGTAGTTTTAACTTCTATACTTGCACTAACAGTACTTCCATATGATACCATCTCTCTGAATTGACTTGATAAACTTTTTTTATATGTTGAGTTCTCGTCTCTCAAAGGTATGTATTTTAATAGTTTTGTTAGCATCCGTGTGAATGTTCCTTTCAACCAATATTACAGTCTTCCAGAGGTGCAGTTCCAAGCATTAAGCAGTCAACTATGCTGCAAATAAAGGCAGTCTATAAATATGGCAGCAAATTTTCCACCATTACTCTCTATTATATATGTTATGTGTAGTATTGCTCGTAGGTACAGTTACTAAGTATCTTTCATATAAATGACTTGCATGGGCTCTGCTTGATTGGAACACAAGATGCCACGTGGGTCTAACTCTGTAGAAAAGTTGTATGGTGATATCTTGTATCATTTTTACAATGTGATCATGTAATTAATGAGACTGTATTGTCATGTATATACACAAGAGGCAGAATTAAGGATGCTCATTCAAATGTAACTTGGCATTTTCTGTCTTTTTGTATTCTGTGCAATCTTACTACTTCTTTAATATAAGGAGAATAGATTGTTTTAAACTGTAATATAAAGTTCAGGTGAATAATCCTGCATCAATAGTTCTACTGTTTGACATATTTAAAACTTTAAAGAAATAATCATGGAATAAGAGTACCTAGGGGTTACATACATTTCCCCATGAGTCTGTCCCTTTAAATTAGTAAGTAACATGACCAGAGAAAACAGATGCTGCTATATGATTCTAAAAGCAGAAGGGATTGAAGAGTGAAAAGGTCAAACTCCTCCCAGCTTTTAGCCTCGTGTCCTGTGTATTATCAAGTTCCCCCCTTTCTTTGCTTTCTTATGTCGCAAAGACAATCAGCACATCTGTTGCGGGGGCTTAATTTATTACTTCAGAGAAGGAGGAGTAAGAAAGAAGTGGTACAAGGTGTTAAGGACAATATTACAGTAGTGATAGACTATATAAAGCAAAACGTAATGTCTGTCTACTTTCAAGCACTATATATGTCTTCAGTTATCTTGACTTTCTGACATTTTTGAAACATCAGCTTTTTTCATCTTATCACAAAGTGCTGGTTTCCAATGCTATTGGAATAGCTTTTGGTTGGTTACCCACTTACATCAGAGCTGCAGTTTGGGTCTTAGTAAATTGCTAGATCTCACCTCTTGGTATTGATCATATTGATTCTTATTTTTCTCTCAGGCCATTTGTTTTGGATCCTGCAAACCCAACATTTAATGTGTGTGAGAACAGCAATGCTTGGGATGAAGTGGCTCATGTGGCGAGACGGAGCCTCCTTAAGCCTCTTTTTAATGGTGTGCAAGCAAAGGAGCCCTGGCTTTTTACAAATGGCTGGTAAAAAACCAACCAGGCTAACGCTTTCTCTGAAGTCCTGTCAAATAGGTTTGCCAAGGCATATGAGACAAGTCTGCCACGAGGAATATTCCACTATAAAGAAATGTAAATAAAAAACAGTGGAGTGTGTGTTGTTTTCTCTCTAATCTACTTAACAATTCTTTGTCATTACTTCTGAATGAACCAGACACAATCCACTCGAGTCACAGGATTAAATCGTCTGCTACATTTTTATCCCTGTGTGAGGGACAAAGCTGAAAGAGATGCTTCCTTATATTTGTAAAGAGTTCAAGCACCAGACCAAAGAGGGCAACATTTCATAGCTCCTACAACTTCCTTCCTTCACAGCTCACTAGGGAAGCACTGGAATTCCATAAAACTTTTGAGCATTGTTTACTTTAAAAAGGCCCATATAAAGAACTCACTTCTTACACAGTAAGATGACTATAACTCCATAACATCTGGCAAATCACTAGGTTGCAATAGATAAATGCTGGAAGGCTCTACACTAGGCTGTCTCACAATACATCGTTTATTTCCAGAAATTATGGCTGATATATCTTCTGAGTATAAGATGAAGGGGAGGTTGGAAAGATAATGAAGAGTGGAGATAATTTATGTATCCAGACTCTACCCATTGTATGGTCTACGGAGGCCCTAACCATTTTAGTCTGTAATGACAGACTTTTATATACAGTTGCAACATAAGTAATTGGGGCTACAGCACAGAGACCCCACCTGAAGGGGAGTTGGAAAGACTGCATTATTTGCTGGAATGATGGTTTTGCAGTGGTGGCTACTAACAACAGGAGAAACAGCATGGAATATTGGCCCTGATCCTACAAGGTGCTTGAGCATCATCAGCACCTCCCAGGGGTCAGGCTAGTGGTGAGGAAGAAACACAACTGAAACAGAACAGGAGGGAAATAGAAGTGGGAAAGTAGTCAGCATAAAAAAATTTTTTTTTTCTTGAGTAGCATGCTGTGTTAGTCTTAAGGTAGTTTATATGGTTAAATTACTTCACACTAGCACAGCAGATCATCTGGGATCCAGGATTTGGTGTCTAGTAATTTTTAATTTGGCTTTACTTTGATTCATCTATGGGCAGATAACAGCTCACATAATTGAAAGAAAGGTATGAAAAGTTAAATTGTGTTGAAAAAAATGGTCAAATTATTAGTCCATTTTAAGTGTCCAGTAGGACTGTTTATTTCTTCATCCAAATAAACAAATATAAAAATCAAGTTATTCCAATACTTTACCATTTACAAGCAGTTGTTTAAATACTTTTTGATGCTGAAATTATACCTTGATAGATAGGGACCAAATAGGTAGATAAACAATTGTTGTCAAATGCAAAATAGAGCATGTACTGTTTACTGATGCTGTATAAAATGTATCGTGCTCCACGAATCATTGTTTTGAAAAGATCCTCAATGAAAGCTATTTTTTCCAAAGTGGTCCAAGCAAACTATTAGATGTTAGTGCTTTGTTAATTACAGTTGAATTTGTTCTGACAGTGTGAACACCACAGTGTCTCTCTCATGCTGAGAAAATAAAAATTCATAGTGTTCCATTATCTTGTATTTGTTTTAATAACATAATTGGCAAGAGTTCACTGCCTGAGATGTTAAATTGCATTGGTATATGTTTCTCAACTTGTTGCTTTAAGATGCATTTCTGCTTTCACCACAGATGCTTTCACTTGAGGGTTCTCTCAGTAGTAAAAAGTGAGAATTAAAAGCACCTTACTGCTCCCCAGCACAGACTTCACTCCCAGCTGCTGCTACTTTTGAAGAAGATGTTTTCTTTTCTATTCTCCTGTAGAAGCTCCTAGTACAATAATTAAGAGGGAGGGGGAGTGTTTCTTTTCTTACTAAATAACTTCTACCAGAAATTTTGGAAACCTGACAAATATTTATTTTTTTTCATTTATTGTGTATGTTATGGTAGTTCCTAGGGGCAATCTGAGAATAGACCCCAACTGTATTCAACCCTGTACAAACAGACTAAAAGACAGTCACTACACAAAAAAGCTTGAAGACAATTGATATCTCGTCAAGATTCTTTTCTCTGCAGATAAGCTATGATTTGCTTTGCTATGCTTCCATCACCACTAGTAAGGTGAATGGTTTTCCAGCAGCAGTTCTATCATTCTTGTTGCACCATTCCTGGTTTCCTCTTTTGCTTCACAGGTGGCTACTTTCCTGGACCCTAACTTTACTTTGGATGGTAAAAGAATGAGGCAGTTTTGTTTCAAAGTATTCATTTCTCTACTTTGAAATACATGACATTTAAAAGTATTAATGGCCATATTTTCATAACACTGTGAGTACTAGATTGGACCTGCCCTACTTACACAAGAAAAGTGCTAATTTAAGTCAATTCAATTAATTGAAAAAGAACTTCCAGTCAGATGATTTTATTTGAGAAAGAACTATAGAATCAGGTTCTTGGTCAGGGCGGGGAAACTACGGTCCACAAGCCACACCACACAGCTCGGTCCTGCTGTAGCTCTCCAGCTGGGCCCACACCATGTGGCTCCCGGAAGCCACAGCATAGCCCTGCTCTGGCTCCTACATGCTCTAATGAGAGCTGCAGGGGCAGTGCCTGCGGACGGGGCAGCGTGCAGAACTGCCTGGCAGCACCTCTGTATAGGAGCCAGAGAACGGACATGCCACTGCTTCCGGGAACCACTTGAGGTAAGCGCTGCTCAGAGCCTGCACCCCCTGAACCTCTCCCAACACCCCAGCCCTGATCCCCCTCCCACTCTCCAAACCCCTCAATCCCAGCCCAGAGCACCCACCTGCACCCCAAGCCTCTCATACCCAGAGCCCACACCCCCAACCCCAATTTTGTGAGCATTCATGGCCTGCCATAAAATTTCTATTTCCCAATGTGGCCCTTGGTGATTAAATGTTAGGTGCAGATCTCAATCCCCCCCCCCACCACCCTTATTACAAAATAAGCTATGGATATTTATAATATGCTAACACCTGACAATCAGTTACTTATACTATGTAAAATGTAGTGTGAATAAGTCAATCCACTCTAATTTTAGTTGGCTTTTATTTGCTTGCATTTTTGCAATAATAAAAGTGTAAAATGTAAGACCCCGAAGTCTAGCTCCACTGCAATCCCAGGGTATGATTGCAGCACAGAGAGATGTATCTCGGCTAGCTTTAATCTAGCTAGTTCCGGTACCAGAGCATTGAAGCTGCAACAGCGTGGGCTTCAGCACAGGCTGTACAAGCCCATCCAGAACCCTACTCAGGTAGCATGAGCTGAAGTCTGTGTTGCCATGGCTTCACTGCTCTGGTACCCAAACTGGCTTGGGTTTAGACATAAAAGGTCAAAAGTCCTGTACTGGTTTGCAGTTGTAAATGCAGTGAGGCTTTTGCAGAAAAGCTGTTTTTAAATTTTTTTTTACAGTTTATGCTGTTGGAAGAATCTTGCTACAGTAACAGTGAGAAAATAAACTACATGGACTTCATCCATACTATTTGCTTGCATTGTCAATAGGAAACCAGAACAGTGTAGAAGAAAATCTGTGGGCGTAATAGGCCCCTATGCATAAACTATAGTCCTTCACATCACCTGGTACTAGTGATCTCTAGCTTTTTTTTTTTAATTAGGTCTGTATGAACCCTGTGACCAAATATTTTCCTCATCTCTGTACTAAGCTCTCTTGGTGAGGAAGACTTTGTACTGATCAACACAGTCCATCACTAATATGCACTAAAGTTTTCTGCAGCAATTTTCCATTCAGGTTATATGAATGGTATATTAAAGCTATCACTTAATAGACCAGAGGATTGTGTTTTTGTGCTGAGCTGAAGCTGAAAAATATTTTCTTTCAAAAATGTGACTACTTCAACTCCTCGAGTGAATATACAAAATGGCAAATGGCTGTATGTTGGAGTTCAGTGTTATAATCCTACTTCAGGGCAGCAGGGCTGTGCTAGTGACAGCCACTTAAGGCCAGGTCCATTTGATCATCATTTGAGGATGAGGTTACTTGGTCGCTGTAGATCTGGCTTAGTGCTAAACTCAGTATTTCCTTCTTTTCTTTGTGAAACCGCAATTCTTGTCCAGCTTTCCTGGCTTCCTCCAGCTCTCTCAAGGCCACTTGTAGCTCTTGGGAAATAATTCCTGGAGATTCTTGCTCCTTCATAATCCAGTCCAGGGCCATATGACTTCTCATCCTTTCATCTAAGGAATACTGGGAATAATAGGAAATTACTTCCTATTACCCAAGAAATTTGCAACAGAAATAAGTTATTAACAAAGCGATTCTCCTTTTAGTCAAACAGGTTCTAGCAGAACTTCCTAGCTTCTGTTCTGAAATTTTAGCCAATATGATATTCCAGAGTATATCAGCAAATTTGTATCTTTCAAACACAACTAGCTAAAAGAAGCTAATGTGATCATAAATCTAATGATGAAAAATGTAACACCCTAATCTTAATTTTAAATTAGAACATTTAATATACTCGTGAATTTTTTAAAACAATCCTTATATTGTTAACATGCCATTCAGATTTTGAAGGAATTCTTGTGCGACCAATATACCATTTTACATTATATTACATCATTCACTATGAAGACTCTTACAGGTCTCAATCCTGCAAAGATTTATGTGTATGCTATGGGCACTTACTTCTTACTGCCTCCCCCACACCCTCCCAGGTTGAGTGTGTGTGGGGGAGGTGGGGGAGCGAGAGAGAGTGAGTGTGTATGTGAAAAGCTAAACACATAAATAAATATTGGTAGGATTGGTGCCTATGTGTGTAATGACCTACAAACAGAGAAGGCTCTGTTCTTGTGAATGCTCTTTTCAGAACAGGGTCTGAAACAGATATACAGACTCTGCACCAAGATCGCATCAACCACCACTGAAATCCAGCCCCATGTAGGATGACACACAGCAACTGTTTAACCGTGCATGACATTGAATAAGCATAATATTTTTAGAAGAGGAAATTAGAACACCTCGGGGCTTGTCTTCACTATCTGGGGGATCAACGCGCAGCGTTGTGAAGACCTGCTAAATTGATCTCCGATTGATCTCCCATCGACTCCACTGGAACGAGAAGCATAAGGTAACTCAATGGGAGACCTGTTGACCCAGCGCAGTGCAGACACTGGAATAAGTCGACCTAAGGTGAATAACGTGAATAATGTAGCTAGAGTTGCGTCACTTAGGTAGACTTAGCCCCGTAGTGTAGACCTGCCCTCAGTCATCTGTGAGTCTGGAAGGAATGTTGGTAAGAAGAAAGTATATTTGTGTACCAACACTTTTAAGGTTCTTCATAGCCCAGTTAATATTTGCAAGTATGCTTTTGAAAAGCAACTTTTTTAACAGATGCCTGAAAGTGATTTTTTTCCCCTTTGGACAACATACTCTATAGGGTGCATGCATTATCTTTAAGATGTAAGCATTCAACCTGATATACTTCCATGTATTTTCACAAAAACATAAGATGAGAATAAGAAGTTTAGCCTATAGTTTATTTCAGTAAATTTTCCTGCTTATTTATTTTCCATCTTTGTCAATTGGTAACTAGACAACGAATGGCAACAGATAAATGCCAGGAGCAGAACTCTGTTCAAGAACTTTACTTTTCAAGGGCCAGTTTTGTTTAGAGTCAGTTTCACTTTCTTGGTGCTGCAGGGTTTGGATTTCAGGCACTGCAGGAGAAAGTGTTTTGTTAAAAAACATTTTTAATAAAAAAATTAAAAGCCATGAAAATATTTTTATTTATAGATGTTACAGTATGTACTTGGGGACCAAATGTAAATGGAGCATCCATATAAATTATACTTTTGGACTTAAAATGGGAAGGGTAAGCACAAACTTTAAATAATTGAAGAAGAAGAAGAAGAATTAAAACAAAGGAGGCTAATAGTTATGCCTAGCTTTGTTTTCTTTTACCTTAGTTATATCAAAATAGACTGTTGCTTGGTCATCACAAGAGATGATTTAGAAAAGCAATTTCTTCCAACTGTCACCTCTGCACAAATTTGTTTTTGATTCTCTGAATCCCTTGATCTCGGTTCCTGGTTATATAAACCAGTCATAAAGTGGGAGCTAATTGTAATATCTTACCTGACGGGAGCACTTTGTTTCACGTAGGGCTTTAAGGCTTCCATTCCAATGCAGCAGCTGAAAGACGATCATCAGCTCCTGCAGAATGAAAGCACATTGAATACTGATGGAAATCTTCAAAAGTGGCACTTTTGCTCTTTTAAGACAAGTATGACACTAAATCTACACTATTTTAAAGAAACAAAATTGACCCTAATCACATTAAAGGGTGTAAGGCATTAATGAAAGGCATATGGACATGCAGCTGGAAGCTAGACATTCCATGGCCCTTTTCAAAGAAAACAGGCAATAACCCCTGTGTGCTGGACAATATTCCCACTCTCAAAGTATAGGTTTTAGGCTTGATTCTGCCACGTGTTGAGCATCTTTGTTAGGAGTTGTGGCCTCAGCAACCCTCGCCTTTAGTCACAGGTTTGAGGGCACTCAGCGCCCCACAAGAAGCACCCAGTATCTTGAAGTACCAGCCCCTTAAAATCGACAGCATGTGTGAACTATTGTTGAAAGCACAGTAGAATATCTTTGTTTTTCTAGATAGTGACTGCATGGCAACAAATTTAATTATTTTCTTTGCACTGAGATACTTCTAGTATGCAGGCACCACATAAAACCAAATTTTGTTCAGCATGTGAAATTAACCTAACCCCTTCCCTTACACCAAACTGAAGCAGTATTGTATCAGCACTATAAGACACATATCAGTAATCTGAAAGTTCTTTGAATTCAACAGGGTTACCTTCACATATAAATAGCTACATAACTAGCAATGATACATTTTCTGGTATAGGCAAAAGTAGATCATCACGTCCAAATCTAATAATGGTCTCTAATAAACTTCTGTTGAGGGACACCAGTTTTTAAACAGATGCCTTCCCCAATCAAATTATCACTGATTATTCGGGTAAAATGAAATGGAAACTTTGTAAATTACCAATTTTTTATAGTGAAACAAGAATAGATATTGCACCAGTAAAAATAAATGGATTTAAAATTGCAGCTTGGCTTACATGCTTTATCAGGGCAAAAGCTACACTGTGTACATTTGCACTCAATTTGAGTCATTGTCTCAGTATTTACTACATTTGGAGTACTAATGAGAAAAATAGCCTCTCTTAGCTTCCACATTCCATGCAAAGTGCAGAGAATTTTACTTCTAAATACGGTTTCTTTTACAAAGCTGTTAATTAGATTCATTAATTTAAAAAACTTTGTTTTGTAAACTTTTCCCAAAAACATAAGGTCAGCTATTTCTTTTAGATTTGTGCATTAGAGCGCACGTTTTACTACTAATTTTATTACCTCAGTTTTACAGATGGAGAAAGTTAGCAGGCATGTTAAATGATCCACTAAAGGCCTCAGAGAGAGTTAGCTCCAGGGTGCATGCAAGGGACTTCTGCAAGATCTATCTGTACTGGTGCCTGGAACATATTTAGCAAACACTCAGACGTGTTTATCATGAGAGAAGACACAGCACTTTTTATTGGCTTTGAGTGCACACACTAGTGCCCTGCCCATAGTAAACATTAGATTTAGATTGATGGATGAGATAAAGATGTCACTGAAAATCCTGCCTTAACTGGGAGTCCAGCTTTACCTCTATGTCACAGGAAATGATGTACTGGAAATGACTATGTACCAGAAATGTTATGACCTAAACCTTTGCCCTTCAAGGATATGTTCTAATCCTATCCAACTCCTGACCCCTCATGGGAAGGCCCACCTTACCTAGTGAGGAAAACCAAAGGATTTGATGGACAGGGCAGGACCCCTAAACCAGGACCTAATGAGTATCCCCACCCCTTAAAAAAAATAATGAAGAAACACAGCTAAATGCAAGAAAAAGGGCAAAATATAAAAGGAAGAGAGAGTGAGGTTTAAAAATTTGTGACGAGACCTGTTAAAAGGGAAATCAAGGATCTTTAAAAAAGACATGTTAAAATTTAAATGTTAACCAAAAACACCCCAATATTTTTTCTCACATGAATAATTTGAAAAGGGCCTAACCACGCCTCTAGTACTAGACCCAAAACCCTCCTTTGCTAGAGAGGATGTAGTATGTGGCCTCAAACTGTAAACCAGAGGCCGGTAAATAGCACCAACTCCTTGGAAATGAGAGAGAACTGCAACTAAAAGTATGAGAAAAGCTAAAATGCAAAAAGGGAGGTTTTTAAAAGCCTTGCAAAGAGATAGATAGTTTTAAGGAAAAAGGGACATTTGTAAACAGAAGTGTTAGCTAAAAGCACTGCATGTTTTCTCACATGCATAACTGAAGAGAAATTTGTGAAAGCTGTAGGTATTTATAATGATACTTTACAATAATCTGTTATGTGATATTATTACACGTTTGTTGTTAAAAAGCAAATATTAAGATTTTTATTTAAAGAATTGTTGATAACCTTCTATAAGTACTAAAAGAGAGGGAGAAAATACAAATGGGAATTCAGAAGAACTGAGCCTTTACAGATTCTGAATCCCTGTAGATATTCACATTGTTATTGCAAAAGGACTGTCAATATCTTTGAAAAGTCAGTTCATCTCATCTGAACCCTCTCTTCTCACTTGTTGATTTTAATACATGCACTAAATCATTCCATTTCTCTTGATTTTTTTTAAATTTGAATTGGTATCCTTCGCTCATCCATCAACCCAAATCTGAAGTTTACTATCAGCAGAGTACCAGCCAACCTGCTTGGGCTGCTCAAAATAATCTAGTTCAAAATTCACATCTCTCAGTAATAGTGAGATTGTGCCACCTCATTTGCATAGCCATTTCCTCTGTCCACTAATTTGATTCTGATCTTTACATTGTGTATGTATTTGCTTGCCTCTGTTAGACAAATCTGAATGTTCACAGGAGGAGTGCTTGAGCTAGTCTCAATTCATAAACATTGTCATTTTAAAAAAAAAATCCCAAACCTAAATTATAGTCACTTTGTGATTCACATGCACACCTTAGTCTATTTTTCTTCAGAAGCAAATACCTCATTCAATGAGAATTTGAAAAATAGGTGGGTCATATTTAAAAACCTCATCCCAGTTTAGAACATGTTTCTTAAATAGAGTTCTCTAAACTGGGATGAGGTTTTTAAATATGTCTTGGCTATTTAGAATGATATAAACAAACACACCTACCTGGAGATTGTATTAGTTCTACAATATATTAAATGCTCACAGGCACGAATCAGGGGCAACATCTCTCTGACTGAATTATAACCTTGAAAAGATTAGCTGACAAAGTACAAGACATAATCACCATTCCCCCCAATTACCAGGCATTAAAACAGGAATATTCTTCCCTGTATACATTACTTTACACATTTAGCTATTCATGGTAAAATCAAATTTAATGTGCAGTGCTGGACTTCAGACTTCCCTGTAAGTGATAAAGCAGTAGAACACTTGCATTGTCTTTAGGATATAGCTAATCAGTATAAGAGCGCATATGTGCAAATAGAGAACATTACTGTTAATTGAAAGGCTGATTATTGCAGAGGCCTATCAGATTTTTGGTTAGTTCCCATGGCATATTCTCCAATAATGCAGATTAAGACAACTGCCACTTTTAATTAGGGACTAGAACAAAGTCATTTTTAAAAAAAATTCAGCTGGATAATTTCGGTCAGCATTTATCAAGTGCTGAATATGAATATAGCACTATGGAGGATATGAACAGGGAAATCAGAAGATGCACACACCAAAGATCTGGATGGAAGGAGGTTGGCAGCCGAGGAGCAGGGAAGAAGAGAGGTGGGCCACTTCTAGAATAGCCATGATCACATGATGTTGCCATTGTATGATAATTGGTATTTGTTTTATGGCTTTTAGTCACTCAAATTAGAAGTGTGATATTAATTTAACTTTCCACATTGTAGCCATGCAGTCCTGAGCCCTCATCTGAAATGCAACTACTTTTATTTGACACACAAAGACTTACAAATGAGTTGAGCTTTTAAAAAAGTATTTTCCCAACATATATTCAAACAACAATCAAATATTAAGTTTAATGCTGGATAAACCTGTTAAGTGGTGAAGTCCTGTTAGTTAGTGCATGATTATTGCATGTTCCATATGTAGTGGTATTTTGTGAAGCCTATTTTAACATGTGTCAAGTCATGTGAGTCTACCACCAAGTACTAATGTCAAGAGGAAGAAGTGGGCCTTTTATGTTTAAGATATTTATCAATCCAACCTGATGGCCTGATGATCTTTAATAGGGTGTGATGTACCTTGGTAACAACTGGATATCACAGATCTTGGATTCATGAGAAGCAGGCCACATCCCAGCCTAAAAAGCTCTTTGAGGTGGTCTATACAGCTGTTTCCTGCTTGGAGAGATTCGTACTTTACTACGTCCACTTCATTCTACAGCAACCATAATTCTTTCTGATCAAAGCTCTTTTTCAGGTTCAGCTGCTCTATGCTTCTTTACAGAAGACATAACACCTTCCTTTTTTAGGTACCATGAGCTGGATGAAGTAAAGACATACAGCATTTCCATGAAGAAAAACAAATAACCAAGCCTGAAGAGATGCTGCTCCAAAACAGAGAAAGCAGAGAACAAGGCAACGGGCCAGGTGGACAAAGGGTCTGACAGTTCCCTCTTGACATCAGCCAGCCTACCCAACACACTGTCTTCAGACTTAACTATTCAAAAGTGAATAAATTAGGAAGCACAATTTTATATTCTTGTACCTGAAATTCTAACATAGTTTTCCCCATGTTTGACTCCAACATATAATGATAGGCCCCGATGCTTGTGCTTGGGTCATCCGCATCACTTAAAGTACCCTTGGGAAGGAAACAAGAAAGAGATTAGTACTGGGATGTTTGGTTATACATATTCTAAGTTTTAATAATTTATGAAAAAAATTCCAGTGCTGAAAACTTGAACCATCTGTCATGCCCCTCCTTCCCTTTCCTGATAAACTATTTGGAAGTGCAGATCAGTGAATCACAGTTACATTGACATGATCCTTTGTGATGCCAACCCTTTCCAGCACCATGTGGGAATTCTGAAAGTGCTGTGACAGTTTATTTCTAGTTTATTTCTAGTTAAATATTGATCTTCCTAAAAGGAAACCTTGTGCATCCTTAGGAGATTTGCTAGTCTTCCTGGAGTGATGCTGAATGAGGACTCCAACTATCATATCATTACTTGGAGTGGGGATACAGGGGGGAAAAAAGACTAACTAGAGATGATTGAACCTCTAAAGGCTTGTGTTTGTATTAGCATCCAGAAGCTTAGGTGTTTGTTTGATGTGCTGAGCTGTGCTCACCCACAGACCCCACGCCCTTTTGTAGTTCCAATCATACTTCTAGTGACATGCCTGGGAGCCATTCCTACACAAAATAGGCTTGATCTTGGGTAGAAGCCCTGTGACCTGCTCCAGATTAAAAGAGAGCACACTGGAGGGGTTGAGAAGTAGGATGCTGAGTCTCTGGCCCCCCTCTCACCAAAAAACCTGCCACTCATGAAAATAAGTGTGTGATGGGAGAAAGGGCTAATTTGGGACTTCCAGTATCTCCCCGAAAGAGATGAAGGTCATATATTTGACCATTTCAGAACATTCATTGACTGATTCCCACTCAGTCAGTGCCTGCTTAGCTTCATTCAACTTTAGAATTCCTACTCCCGTGTTATGCCTACCATCTACATTCCCAGAGTAGATGATAGTCTTATTTATTTTTCTTAAAGTGCATTTTGTTCAGACCTGTCCAACTACACTCACTGATTTCAAGGACATCAAGATGCTATCTATCAATTTATTTAATTATCTGAGCAGTTTTAGTAGTTTCCTACATTGTTCTCATATTCCAAAATCCATTTTTCATTATTGATTTGTCCGTAAGCATGGGACTTTTCAGGATGTGGGCTTCCTTATGTGTTTGACCAATGCTCCAATATTCTTCACAGGAAGCTGATCTCTTGTTTGAGTCTGCTGCCCACCAGTAGAGGTCCTGGTGTTTGTTTCTGTAGCATGTTTGTTTTATGTGATGAGGTTACAAGTCCCACACCCAACCTTAGGTCCATGTCTCATTTATTAGTCAGAGCTGTCCACAGGTGGAGATTTCCCCATCCATCACACAGGGGATGTGCTTAGTAGCTTCTGATGCCCCATATTCAGCCAAAAAGATGAAGCACATCTGATTGATCTGGACATGATGGCAAAGTGAGGATACATGAATTTTAAGTGGTAGGCTGCAACTTTTATTGCACAGGGGAGGGGCATTACCCACCCATCCTCCATATTCCTTTATACCTGGCATTCTAGTGCAGGGGTTACCAAATAACCCATAACTCAGGGAAGGTTCCCCTGAGCCTACCCCTGGGACTCAACTTGCTTTGAGTCCTTCTCCCTCCCTCCTGTAAAGGGGACAAAAGATTCACAAGGGGGGAGGGGACATGAGCCTGTGAGAGTCACAAGGTTTCATCCTATCAGATAAGCCCATGACCTGTCAGCAAAATCTCAGGTCTTTTATCTTTGGGAACCATTCATTGTATCCTTTTAATCACACTGGAAACCAGCTTCAGGGCTAGCCCGTGACTAGCTTGATCACACTCCCCACAACCAAACCACCTGTTATCACAGCTGCTGCCCCCATCCATTCTTACAGATTCAGGCCAATAGAAACAGATGTATCTATGTGTGACACTCTGTACTCCAAAATAGCACCTTATAACCCCCATATTCACCACTGTGATAGGATTAGGATATATTTTGTATGAAGTATGCCTTGTGAGGTATCATTTTAAAAGTCTTGATCTGTTGAACATTAATAGCCTGTTGGATTGTTTGTGAAGTTAGGAAGTATTGCTCTACGTGCTACTGAAAGATGTTGTGAGGTTGGGAATGCCCACAGCCAGCCTTTCAGTTGCAACAAAGGAGGGCCCAGACGGTGTTAATGGCTCATCAAGAAAATAATCTATTATCCCAGAAGCTCCTTAGAGAAGAGATGTATGCAATGGAGACTGCTTCACCAATGGCGGCTGACTGACCTCACCTCACAGCAAGGATCTTTCTAGCAGCTGGAAGAAAGTATAAAAGAGGGAGAGTGACATCATCACTTGGCCTCTTCCCCCACCCCATCTCAACACCCTGGAAGCATGTCTGGAAGACTACAAGGTCTATCAGGCCAGCCTTACATAGCTCATGGAGTTTGTGACACAGGAAGGGCATTGTCATGAGTGGCCCATACTGACACACCACAGTCAAGGGCAGGCATGTGGGAGGAACCCTGCTGGATTAATTGCAGAAAGGAAATTAAGCCCATTCCATTTTAACTGCAGTTGATCCTGAAGGCCAAGAAATTATTTTTATTTGCGTTCTTTGTACCCCACGAGGTGGTTGGATTATGTGACCTGGCCAGAAGGCCAAGCCAGAGAAGACCCACTGAGGCCGACTTATAGCCTGCAGGGGCACTGGGAGCTGAAGAAAATGGCGACACTGCTCCTGGACATCAGTGGGCACTCGAAGAAGAAAGTGCAACCCACCACACCCTCATCAAATGTCCCCCTTTGCTTCCCCCTCCTGTTCAGGCAGCTGGGTGGCCACTTTCTGCCCTTGGCAATGGATGTGTTACTTGGACTGGCTTCAAAGGGTCCTCAGTGACTTACTGGAATTTTGAGATGGGGCTTGGCTTTTGATTGGAATGGAAATTTCCAATAAATAAAAAAATAGGAGTTAACTCTCCAAATCACTTCTGAATTAATCTGAGAGTCAGTGGTAGTTCAGAAATACATAGTGTTTCATGTTGATGCCACTTGCCCTCTACCCGCTCGCTCTTCACTGTCTCAGTGATCTATTGATATGAAACTACCTCCTGTCCCCAGTCTTTTCCTGGCTCTGTAGGACTGCTGCCCATTCATCAAGGTTTACTTATTTGAGATGATCCACCAAAAATGTGAGTTAAATTAGTCCAGTCTACCTGCAGGCATTTATGAAAGACTTATCACCCTGGTACCTATGTGCTGACTGTTCAGAGCTGGAGTCCCATACACTATCTCTATGATAATGAGGGCATATTGATGGACCTATAGTGACACAAGTCATAATTAAGCAAATACTTTTTCAATGGACCCCTGGAGTAGCATGAAGTAGCTAGGAAAGGAAGTGGATAAATTCCCCATAAATTTGAATTTGTTTATTTTTTTCTTTTTGGAAACCTAAAAAAGGAGCATCTGAGTGAACTACTTTTGATAAATTCCCTCTCATAGCTCTAGGTGTTCAGTGGCAGCTGTGCAGAGTTGAACCGATCCCTACACAAGGTAGTTCCTCTAACTGAAATGTCAGCAAATGTATAGCTTTTGAATGCTGTAACATTAACACACTGCAGCTGAAATATTTATGCTGGCTTTTAAATATCCCTGAGGAAATCCACCCTGAAGTCTGCAAAGTGTATACCCTTTTACCTTCAAAATTTCCATAAAAAATGATGAATTACCTTAAATTGAACCTCTCTTTAAATTTCATGTATAAATAAATCATGTCCCATTTTTCCAAACTGACATGGATTTTTGTTCCTCCAAAGTGTATGAGAGTCAACATACTGGGAAAGAAAGCTCTCCTTTCATCCACAGACCAGATATAGGCCAGGCCTCCTTACATTGCTCTATCAGTTCACCTAAATTATAGCAACTCCTCTTCCCTTTTCCCGGTCCATCCCATAAAGGAGAATGAGATTTTCAGCTGAAAAGGGGAAAACTAATGTGCCTCACTAAAAGCTGTTAACAGTGTTTCTAAACTATTTTAAATCCACTCCACATTTGTTATCAGAAGCTTCTTCTGAAAAGATGGGAAGAATTCAACGAACCCTTCGTCAATCCAGGACATAAGCCTATCAGTGAGCCTGCACTTTCATTTAAAAAAAATTGCTACATCCTACATTGATTTTAGACACAATGCTGAACTAGAAATTGAGTCTTGTTTGTTTGTTTTGTTTTTTAATTATAACTCCAAAGTCTGTTTGGCCAATCTTAACCATGACAATAGTTGGAAAAACCCAGACCCTAGTGATGTCAGTCGGGGACAAGTAGAAGTGATAGGCCAGAGTTAATGGGAGTTCGAGAGAAATTGTTCCTTGAAACTATTTAGGAAAGTTTACAAAGGAATTATGTTTTCCCGCTCATGTTTACTTACGTATGGTAATTTACGAAAAAAAAACAGATTTGGTTGATCTTTTCAAAGCAATGCAGGAAATTTAGCCATACACTTTCTATTAATTGAGAGGACAGTGCAAGATGGTCCTCAAACACTGTTTCAAAATATCTAAAGTATTCATTACAACTATTAGGACCCACTCCTTGAAGGTGCTGAGAACAGTCAACTTCCATTAACTCAATAGTGTGGGAGGGGATACTGAAGCTTAGCTCATCCGTTACTTGTTCCATGGATATTTTCCAGGTATAAACTAATTTTACATTTATATCAGCCTTATATAAATATAGATGGGTTTTATTTATATCAGCTTATAATATTTTATATTTAGCTATATATATGAATCATTCATATAAGCTATGTATATAATATGTGTTAGACATTTGTTAAACTTCACCCAATATTGAAATGCACCCATCTCTGGCTGGTAGAAAATGATAGCTGAAAACAGTGCACAACATAAAAATATTCCCAATTTTCATACTTTACATTAGATAATTAAAAATGAAACTATAACATCCCCCTCCGCCCCCCCCCCCACACACACACACTTGGGAAGAAGGAAAATACAGACCTTGGGCCAGATCCTCAGTTACCATACATCAGCACACCTCCATTGATGTGCAGCAGCAGAGCTGCAGTGATATCACCTAAATATCTGTCTCCTTGCTCTTAGAGTATGAACTCTCTGGGGCAGGAACCATGTCTCCCCTCTGTGTTTGTGGAGTGCTTAGCACAACTGGGCCCTGATCTAGACTGGGGCCTCCAGGGCAGTACAATTAAATAAATATTAAATAATAACCACCTTGAAAGACATTTAGTCTTTGGTTATCAGATTAGGTTTTTTATTCCAAACTTTAACTTAACAGCACACAGTTGATTTTCACTTGATGTCCTGCACAATGGACAGCAATGCAGATGTCGGGGGTCTTTTCCCTCTATTGTGGTTGATTCAGTTTTGGTATTTAATGTCAAAGGTTCCTTCCCTCACTCATTTCCCTACCAGAGTAACTATAATGTTAAGGAATAAACCACTGAAATAGAGATACATTGAAATAAATTAAGGATCTGGAACTAGAGTCCCCTACAGATTACATAAGCAAATTAAACTCCCTGTGTTCCAGAGCCTGTATCTGATTTTTAAGTGTTTACTAAAGAGTTAACAGATTATCAATGAAGACAGAGTTATGTAGGATCTAATATTAATTCCATGGAAGTAGTTTCCTCAATTAGCTACAATTTTATATCAACATTGCTGACAACAACTCAAGAAACATAGTTTGGTACTTACACTGGTTGAGGAAACAGCTTCTTGAACACTTTCCATAATGAATTCCTTTGTGATCTTGCGACAGGGCAATTCATTGAACAGAGAGTTGATCAGAGCCACTTTTGCAGCATCTCGTCTTGCCTCTGCTCTGCTTAAGCAGCACTGAAATTGCACATTAATACAGAGCGAGTTACAGACCTCAGGAAAACTACTCTAGTTCACCTTAGGCCTATTTTTGTCTTTATTAATACAACAGAAAGTCCTTTCAAAGCCCAAATGAAAATTATATTTCTACACAAACATTGGCCAATGTGCTTTTATCAGTAAAGCTGGTTGACTTTTCACACAAAAATATTTTTCACTGAAAAATTGCCTTTTCTCCAAAATGAAACTTTTTACTTACTTACTAAACTTACTAAATTGTCAACATTATAAAAAATTTCTAATTTTTGCAAACTTCTGTGATATTTTTACTGAATTTTTATTGAAATAATTTTTGAAGTCGATACATTTTTTCATTGACTGCAAACCCTATTTTCACTGAAAACCAAGTTTCTGGTAAATAAAAAATAAAAACTTTTAAAAAAAATAGAAACATGGGTAAAAATTAACAGAGACATTCATGAAAAATAGAGCCAATTTAAACAAAGACATGAGAAAAGACCCTAAATTTCTTGGTGAAATTGTTTTCCCATTTTTTGACCAGCTCTGCTAATCAGTATTATCCAAACATTCTATGGATGCAGTTTTTCAAAGGAGCCTGAGAGCAAGGCTCCCAGCTTCCATTGACTTTCCCTTCATTAGACACCTTTAAAAATCCAAGCTCATATTAATTTCCTCTATTCTAATCATAGTGTGAGAAAATCTTATTAGCACTTTCAAGCACAGTGCTTGCTATCCCACCAACAGAACATTGTAAACAGAAATTAATACAGAAGGGACCTCTTCAGTTTATTCATTTATCACATACTGGGAGTTCTGCTGAAGTGCATCTCATACAGGCAACGTGGATAGAAGATGATAATTTTTAGATATAATGTCAGGAATTAGACACCTTCATTTTTTACCCTGTGTATGACTCACTAGCTACTCTTTAGCGATTGCCCATTTACAGCAACACACACATTTAAATGATTCTTCCATCAGCTTTCCTCAGATCCTGAGTTATTTAAAGCCTGATCCAAAGCCCACTGAAGTCAGTGGCAGTCTTTCCATTTACTTTAATTGGCTGTGGATGAACCCCTTGGTACAGATGTGCTCTTTTACCAGTGGGAGACTTGGGCACCTATGAAGAAGATGATTTTTTCTGTCCTCTCTATAAGCAAGGAAAATGCAGGTATATTCACCAAAAACAAGTACTTGTGATGTTTCAAAAGCTTATCTTTTTAAGTGATTAAACTTAATGTTTACAGCCAAAGAAAACCATTTTGCTTTCTTTTTACAAACGTTCCATTCTTAGCCCATCTGATTAAAGAATGAGTTTTCTAAAAGGAAAATCATTTTAATTCCCCTTTTATAGCTTAATTTTTACTCACTAAATTTAATATTTTGAACATGCCTCAAGAAGCCTAACCCCACAGCTACTCATGATATGTAAAATACTTGACCCTTCTGTGAGCAATTCCATGCACCTTTTATATCCATTTAGAGTTGTCTAGATCAACACATTTTACTACTCTATGGTTTTCCTTCATTAGTTTTAAATATTCTCTTGTAGGTTGCATGTAAGTATCTCTGCTTTCTAAAATTCAGAGAACAAAACTCAGACTTGTATGTTTTTAATAATAAACTTTATAATAAAAACCAATCCAAATAATTTAGATGTAAACCATCTTTGTGAAGCTGAAACCCAGTGAAAATGACAGATAAAAGAAACTTAGTTTTTAAGTAAGGCCAGCAAAGTAGCAGATCAAAGAAGATGCATACATTTATAAGAAAATGGTAAGCCTTTAGAGATCAAGAGATCTACCAATCTGGAAGAGTAGAACAATCCTTAACATTTTCTAAATGTAACAGGGGATATAAAAGCAAAATATATTATAATTGTAAACTGTGACATATGACTTTCCCTCTACATTTTTTTCTTTAATTTAAATGTTTTCAGTCTCTCGAGAATGAAACTGATTAGAACTCATTTGAGCTGGGGAGTAAAAGGGCAAAATTTTAATTTAGTTTCTCAGAGGGCAAAAGTTTTCAGCATGGGCTGTTTGACTCAAATGTTACAAAGAAGTCTTGAATTATCAGGGCTTAAGTTATAGCGGAACAGTGAATATTAAGGGAGCATTCACCCTTTTTTATTGGTGATTGGTCCCATGACTGAGCTCCATCTTTATACTCCCTTGCAGTGGATAGGGGTAGGGAAGAGGTCTACAGTGATATAACTTTACGCATATTGAAAGCTAGTAACCAGCAGTTATAGCAGCTTTGGATATGACGTCTTAAACAATGTAGCTGGTTGGCTGAGGAGGGACGCAGCTCCCATGTCCAGCCCACTCACTGCAGTCCCTATCACCTCAGCCCAACCAGTCACAGCCCACACTGTTCCTCACTCACTCGGGTGACATATTTCCCCAAAGGGAAAACAGGACACTACCTGGGGCTCACCCAAACTTCCCCGCACCCATGCAGGGTCAGCCCAAGCCCCTTCCATGCAGGGCCGGGCCAAGCCACTTGCCCCCCCTGTCTGGGGATGATCCATGCCATTCACCCCCTTTGGCCTGAGCTCCTCACCCCCCAGGCCCATGTGGGGCCAGCCCGAGCCACATGCTCGAGACCTTCCTGCCCCCATGTGGGGCTGACGTCACGGCCCACCCACATGTTCCGCTGTGCCCCACTAGGGGTCGCACCCCACTTTTTTTGCCAAAATTGGGCATTTGTACTGTTTGCTCATGCCAACTGATGATCCGTTGGCAAGCGCAAGTGGGATACATGCCCAGTTTTGCCAAAAAAAGTGGGGACAGCCAGGACAGGGCTTAAAAAAGGGACGGTCCTGGCCAAAACAGGATGTATGGTCACCTACCACTCACCCTCAAACATCCTGCCCCCAGTCTCAACCCACCCACAACTCACCCTAAAGCTGCCCCCAACATCTCTCACCTCACGGCCCCCGAGCCAAGTTGTAACACCATTCACTCAAATCACTCCTCATGATGGAGAGGTGGCCGTGCCACCCCTAAGTGGCACTGTGATACCATGCACCGGGTCCTAATGTCTCTCACTCAAATTTGGCCCAGCTGTCCCCCTGTCATGATGGAGAGGTGGCTGGGCCAAACCTACGTGACACTGAAGTATCAATTAGGTTTGAGATGGGGGCCCTATTCAAGTGCATATTAGTTAATTTGAGTCTGGAAAGCAGCTTGGAAAAAGAAATAAAATTTGCAATGTGGCCTAAAAGTCAACCAATTTGGTTCTGTGGGATCACTAGGGGCAAGAGAGTAAGTTCCAGAGCTGACAGGAGGACTAACCCACCTCAGGTGAACGTATGCTTAAGCATCCTTAGTTGATCTCAAATGCCAGATTAAACATGAGAAGCGAAACAATCTCTAAATCACAAAAGGCTCAAAACATAAAGGGCTTCATAGATCAGAATCAATTCCTTTCATCACACCTGGAAGCAAATGATGAGAAAAGTACAGTTTCTGGAGCACATATGTAATATGTTCCCCACCCAAAGTACTGCTAAGTAAGGAAGCATCTGCTTTCTGATCCAGCTAAGCTTCTACGCAGTTTTCAAGTGTTGCCCCAAAACTGAGTACATTATAATCAAAATCTGGATAAGAAAGAGGCAACTATGCCAAAGTTTGCATCTCATAGGTGTAGGCCTGAGACCTGATCAACCCTCACCCCCCCATATTAAACTCAGGGAGTTCACCCATAAAATTGAAAGAAGAAAAAAAAAGAATGTTCAAATGTGGCAATTTTGTTTCCAAGCACTGATGAGGAAAGGACTCTTGTCGGGGCTGCTGTCTGGATATTCCCAAACAGGTAAGGATCTAACAAGATCCCTTCCCCCCAGCCAGCAAACCTGAGCAACAAAAGGTGGGCAAATAAGTAAGCGCACAGTTATTTCCTGTAGCTATTGCTTCACATCCCTTCTGTCTCACCAAGTTTCAGCCAGCTAGCTCTCCCCCCAAGACTCAAATCTTAAAAAGCCTTGGGGGAAAGTAATTCCAGGTCTGATGAAATAGAGATGGTGAGGTGAGTGTCATCCATCTTCTAACGATGCCACAGCACTAATAATACTGTGGTAGCACCTCACATACACATGAAAAAGAATAGAATCCTATCTGGGCAGAGCAATTGTCCAGTACTGTCCTCAGATAGAAAAGAATGAAAACATTGAAAAGGAACTCTACTGTGCAGGCTGTTACTGGGATAGACTCAGGACTTCAGTTTTATGGGCTGAACTCAGCACCTTTCACTAGTACTGCAATCACTTACATGGAGAGAGAAGCTCATGTAGCAGTTCCCCTGAAACATTCAAACTGCAGTTCCTTTATATAGTTTAGGTTACAGTTTTTCATCTGCAGAACTTTCAGATGAATTTCACTGACCCTTACGGTCTGAAAAATCATAAATGCAATGTCAGTGCGATTTTTGCAACCACCTGGTTATTTTAACAAAGACACAAGAGACAAACACAGTAGCTGGAAAATTCTACAGACTTGTTCTTAATGTGTAAAGTGAGAGTATTTTTCCTTCCCTACACTGAATAAGGTTTGAGAACTTGGTTTATTGTTAAAGCTGATATTTTTACCCTCCGATATAAAAATGCTCAACCAAAATTGACCCAAGCAATTCCTTGAGCAAGAAACTTTTCACACAGGTCTACAAGAAAACGGAAGCTTTCATTATTGTGCATTCAGCAGCCTATTTGAAAGAAAATCCTAGAAAAGCTTGTCACCTGTAGGGGTGAGGGATTCTTATGGAGCTGTCTTGAATTCCTATTCAATCCTTATTCTACACTTTACCCCCTTGCATTCTACTGTTCTATTTTGAGGCAAAGCTCCTTCTATTCACTCTGCTCAACAGACAAAAAACAAGCCAAAGTTTACGGGGGGGTGGGTGGGTGGAAGCAGATATCCTGCCTTTTATTAAAATAACCAGCATCTTTTGATTCGTTGGGCTGGTATTTAAAAATTGTGAATTAGTCTGTACATGAC